AATTTACCTCTGGCCTACTCCCTGTGGGGGTGGGGGGATTTTGACATCAGTCCAATTCCAAAGCTTGATACCCCCTCTGTATATGTAATGCCTGGTGCCACATTAAACATTTTCAAAAGTCCTTACAGAATCCTCCCTGGGTGTACTCTCAGTGAGAAAAACTCTACAGAACAAAATTATACTTAGTTCTCAGCAGTAAACCATTCTTATTCCAGACTTGACCTATTTATGCTAGAATAATGGTATACGAACAGACTTTTTTTTGCCTTGCGGGTACGCTAGACCTAGCACCTGAATGACCCTTTTGAATGATTTGACAGAGGCAGAGTCAATTGGTTCCTTACTTCAGCATTACTTAGCAGAGAATGCCTAGGCAGGGTTGTCTGATGCATGGGAGGCACACTTTAATTATATGAGGGAGGACTTTATCTCCCAGGGAAAGCTTTATGTATAATAAAGTTATGATTGACTATCAAATCAAATGCACATTCAGATTTTAGGAATTATGTTAACAAGGGCTCCTAGGAAGCAATTTACGTGTCTATAAGTTCAGTAACTTGAATCCCAAACAAGACAGAGATTTTTTAAGCCTTCGTAGATAGCCATACTATTGAAAGACTATTATACGGCTATGTACAGCCTCCAGGCAGGAGAGTCAGGAGATCATAAAGCTACTAGGTGTAGGAAAAACCAGCATTACCTGAAATAAATTAATGATCCTAATCTAGACTCTGAAACACTAGACCAGAAAAACCACCCCTGCTGAAATTTTAGCAACACTTAAAAGAATGTTGACTAGGCCTAATGGTTGCCAAGAGTGTACTACCTGAAATACTCAGACCTACTTCTTCAATATATGTCCACATATTTCAATTTCCTGACATTAGGGGGAATTTTCCAAAAGCTGCTTAGATAGCCCATATGACAGTGCTGCCAAAGGAAGGTATGAACCTGTTCCATTGTCAAAATGTTTGCCCCATCTGACTACTAAACAGCAACATTGAGGTTCTAGTTGAAATCTTAGCCGATAGTTTGAAACCATGTTTGGGTGGCGTTATAACTCTCAAAGAGCTATCTTCCTGATATATAGGATGAGGACAGAGAAGATTCCATCCTGATCCTATCAGTTGATGATGGGAGGGCTTTCAATAGATAGATAGAATCTTTAGTGATAAAATCTTCAGATACTTAGGTCTGGTGAAGAACATGCTTGTCTTGGATTTCTGCTTTATACAGCAATTCGTTGGTCAGAATCAAAGTGAAGGTTTAGATTTTTGTATTACAAAATTTGTCTCAATCCTGATATTGCTGGCATTACTGCTTCCCTCAAACTTGACAATGCTCTCTTTTTTGTAATTACCTCCCTTTTTTTTCTTCCCCACCATCATGGCAGAGCTTTATGGGTTCCAAGTGCTTTCTAATTTTACAAAACACTTTAACAATGTTATTAGATTACAATCTCTGAGGAGGACAAACAGTGTCTAGAAAGCTTTTACCCCTTCAAATGGAGGACCTATTCCTTTTTTGAGCACCCTTGTAGTCCTTTCACTCTTCCTCCACCTTTGTAACTGAAAGCCCTATAGAGGTACAGACAGCCCCCATGATCCATTGATTGCTGGTGCAATGCTCTGCAGGCTGCTGCAAAAACGTGCAGTTATTAGTTTTTTTTTTAAAGGTGAACTTAAGGTGTTCTGTTATAGAATCCCAACACTACAAAATCCTACAAGTTCTCTTTGTTTATGAGGGGGCTGGGCATCTTTGTTTGCCATAATTAACTCTGTACTGTGCATGCAAATCTTCATTATTAGTTGTAAGCTAGATTTGAACACTGTCCTAACAAAGGGTTAAAGGTTTAGAAGTTGGGCTTCCTGTATGTTAATAAGAGGAGACTCAGCCTGTCTTTAGCACAAACTTAAGCTGGCCATAGATGTGTAGAATTTCTAATAAAAATTCTTAGGAAAAGAAGGTTCTAAGAAGATATGTTCATTTTTCTAATCATTAGTGGGTCAAATCAATGTTTGTTTTTGAGCGCAGTGACGAGAAAATTCAAAGGAGCAGGCTGGAAATGTTTTCTATAATGAACAAATTTCTAACAGTGTATGTTGTTTTCATTCAGAAAATCCATTCTTTCCAAAATCAAATGTTAAAAGCAAACTAAATCTTTTGAACAACATTCAAACGTTCTTAGAATTTTCGTACAATTTTCCTAAGACATTTCCTTTTCATTTGAAATTCCATCCATCTTTGGCCAGTTTTACTCTGATATTCTTCAGAAATCTTTGAAGTCAGCCATGAGGCGTTCTCCTGAGAAAAAATGTATAAAATATTTATTTTACTAAAAAAAGTATTTTATCTGTGGTGTGCTGTGTCAGTGGGGACACATAAACATATAGTAGAAAATATACCTTAGGGAGGAATATCACCTGGGTGTATGAAAATTAAAATTTAGCTGCTTTGATACTGTAGCTGCTGACCTTTAAGAAACAGATACTTACCATCCCAGAAAGTCCAGCTCTGTCTTCCCTGCAGCTGTTTTTTTTCTCAGGGTTGCAGATATCTGATTCCGTTATTTAGGATTTGGAAGCTGGCTGTGACTTACTGATGACTCACAGCCAGATCCCTCAATGTGTGAGATTGAGGGGCCCAGGGAAACTCCTAGGGCCTCCTAGGATGTGTCAATTTTAGATGGATGGGTGGCAGAAAACAAGGCAACTTTTGCTTTCAGGAAAAGGTCCACTTTGATCATCCCTGGCTTCTTAGATTCCTTACAGTGGTGCAATATTTATTTATTTTTTTAGGTACTGGGTTACAGAAAGTTGATCCCCACTGAATTGGGGACAAAGGGGGGGGGGGGGGTAATTTGAATAACTAATATGTTAAGAATGTAACATTTCTGTTTACATTTATTTTGTTGGTAAATGTAACTTTTGACTGTAGTAAAGAAGGTCCACAGGATGAATGTTGCCATTGCCCATAATATAGTAGTATTTTAGATGTGGTGTTCTGACTGCCCAACTGTATACACTGGGCTGTGCATTATATATTCCTAATTGCCAAATTCTGCACACTGTGCTGCAAAGCACATATTTTGGACTGCTTCACTTTGTACACTGTGCTGAAAGTATATATTTCAGGATGCTCAAATCTGTATAATGTGCGGGGCATTATACAACCCCATATATACATATCAAGAGTAGTGCCAACATAGTACAAGACTATAGAAGGGCATCATATCCTATTGTTAATAATAATAAAAAATAAATAATAAAACCCCAATTCCAAAAGAGTTGGGACACTGTGTAAAATCTACATAAAAACAGATTTAAATGATTTGCAAATCTCACAAACCCATATTTCATGCACAATAGAAATGTTTAAGCTGAGAAAATGTACAATTTTAGGAAAAAAATAAGGTAATTTTGAAAATGATGGCAACACATCTCAAAAACGTTAGTGCAGGCCCATGTTTACCATGGTGTAGCATCCCCTCTTCTTTTAACAACACTTTGTATATGTGTGAAAACGGAAGAGACCAGTTGCTGGAGTTTTGGGAGAGTAATGTGGCCCCATTTTTGTCCAATATAGGATTCTAACTGCTCAACAGTCCTGGACTGCAGGCAGGCCAGTTAAGCACCCAGACTCTTCAACAATGAAGCCATGCTGTTGTCATAGATGCAGTATGCAGTTTAGCAGTGTCCTGCTGAAATATACAAGATCTTCCCTGAAAAATACTTTGGGGTTGATTTACTAGAAGCAGAGAGTGCAAAATCTGGTGTAGCTGTGCATGGTAGCCAATTAGCTTCTAACTTGTTCAATTAACCTTTGACAAAAAAAACTGGAAGCTGTTTGGTTCCTATGTAGAGCTGCACCATATTTTGACTCTCCAGTTTTAATAAATCAACCCCATTGTCTGAATGGGAGCATATGCTGCTCTAAAACCTTAATATATCTTTCAGACTTGATAGTGCTTTCCCAGATGTGCAAGCTGCCCATTTCATACACACTAATGCACCCCCATGCTATCAGTGATTCAGACTTTTGAACTGAGTGCTGATAGCAAGCTGTAAGGTCCCTAACCTCTTTAGTCCAGAAGATGTGGCGCCCAAGGTTGCCAAAAAGAATGTAAAATTTCGATTTGTTTGACTACAGAACAGTATTTCACTTTGCAACAGACCATTTTAAATTAGCTTTGAAGAGAAGATGGAGGTGTTTCTGGATCATGTTCAGATATGGTTTCTTTGCATGACAGAGCTTTACCTTGCATTTTGGGATGGCATGGCAAACTGTGTTCATAGACAGTGAATTTTGGAAGTATTCCTAAACGCATGCAGTGATGTCCATCACAGAATCATGCCTGTTATTAACCACTTGCCTACCAGGCACTTATACCCCCTTCCTTACCAGGCCAATTTTCAGCTTTCAGCGCTGCCGCACTTTGATTGACAATTGCGCGGTCATGCAACATTGTACCCATATGAAATTTTGATTATTTTTTTCTCACAAATAGAGCTTTCTTTTGGTGGTATTTAATTGCCACTGGGCGCTTTACTTTTTGCGCTATAAATTAAAAAAGTGCAAAAAAAAAAAAAAAAGTTTCTTTGTTTCGATTATAAAATTTTTCAAACAGGTAATTTTTCTCCTTCACTGATGTGCGTTGATGAGGCAGCACTGATGGGCACTGATAGGCGGCACTGATGGGCACTGATAGGCAGCACTAAAGGGCACTGATAGGCAGTACTAATGAGGTGGCACGGATAGGCGGCACTGATAGGCAGCACTAATGAGGTGTCACGGATAGGCGGCACTAATATGCAGCACTGATAGGCGGCACTGATAGGTGACACTGATGATGGGTACTGATAGATGGCACTGACTGGAATCACTGCTGGGCACTGACTGGCGGCACTGACTGGCACAACCGCTGGGCACTGACTGGTGGCACTGACTGGCAGCACTGCTGGGCTGCACTGGTGGGTGGCACTGGTGGGCAGCACTGGTGGGTGGGCACAGGTGGGTGGCACTGGTGGGCACAGGTGGGTGGCACTGGTGGGCACAGGTGGGTGGGCACAGGTGGGTGGCACTGCTGGGCACAGGTAGGTGGCACTTCTGGGCACAGGTGTGTGACACTGCAGAGTGGCACAGGTGGGTGCACTGCTGGGCACAGGTGGGTGCACTGCTGGGCACAGGTGGGCGGAGCTAGTGGGCGCACTGCTGGGCACAGGTGGGCAGAACTTGTGGGTGGCACTGCTGGGCACCGATCATCAGGGCACTGATCATCAGTGCCCTGATGATCGATGCCGATCCTCGCTCTGACAACTGCCGGTTCTCGGCAGTACTTTCCTCACGATCTGACAGCGTGAGGAAAGTGCAGCCGAGAACCGGCACTTGCATTTCCCTGTGATCAGCGTGTCATTGGACACCGCTGATCACCTGGTAAAAGGCCGGTATGATTGGCCTTTTACCACATCTCGTGATCAGCTGTGTCCGTAGGACACAGCGATCACGGAGATCGCCGGGTGCGCGCCCCCTGGGGCGCGCAGGAGAGCGCGTTCTGGGGGGACGTCATATGATGTCCACCCAGAACTGGCCGGCCGCAGTGAAGCCGTCATTCGGGTATCTGCGGTCGGCAACTAGTTAATGCAGTGCTGTCTGAGGGCCTGAACATCACAGGCATCCAATAAAGTGTTTCGGCCTTGTTTCTTGTGCACAGAAATTTTGCTAGGTCCAATGTAAGTTAATCACCATAAAGACAGCATGGTAGTCAAAGTAGTCAAGGAACATATATTCCATATATTCCCTCAATCCCCTCATGTTTTGCATTGTATTGTATTGTTATTGTTCTGTCCCCCATTGTAATGTACAGCGCTGAGCGAACTATTGGTGCTTTATAAATACTGTTTATTATTATTAATAATAATAATAATAATAATAATAATAATAATAAAAAAAGAGGGGGCTCTTGATAAGTATCTTAGAAACAAACTCAGTTCACATCAATCCAGCCTGTATCCAGTTTGTTTCTAAGGTATCAAGAGCCCTCTTTTTGGAATATATTTGCCTTGACTACTTTGACTACCATGCTATCTTTATGGTGACCTACTTACACTCTATTTTAAGATTATGTGTACAAGGCCATTGGCTGTTTACTGAATTAACCTGAATTTCCCACCTGAGAGGTAGTGGCTTCACCTCGGCTTTCTTATTTGCACCTCTATGGGCAACATGCATATGCTATATATTCCAGTCTACTCTACTGGCTGATTTTACTCTATTAAAGATTAGTGAGTTCCAGTGTACTGTTTCTGTCTCATGTTCTCCTGAAGAAGGATTCTCGAAACCTGTTGAGTCCACATGGGAACTGTAATCAGTATTTTTGCATGTTGTTAACCCCTATGTGGAGAGAAATTTTATAAGTTGTGTAATAGATTTGTAATGGTACATAATAAATTTGTTTTTACAGTACTCAGTTTCTCTTCTATATGTCCACACAAAGTCCATGACTACATATTCTGTTCATAGTTGTACATGTATTTAAACTGTGTGTTTAACAGTTTACCTGGAGTTCCACTTTAAGATTAAAATTACAGTTAAGTCAGTGTCTTTCGGTTTTCAAAACACCACTCACATATTTATGATTTCAGATGCTGAGATTGCCAATACGAGATCAAATTACTTAGATTTCTGAGGAATGAATAGCTGAGATGCGTGTCTAGAGAGTGAAAGCACACCCAGTTGTGTACACTAAAAGCATACCTGGCGTGCAGGTTCTCCATACACAGGTGTCTTTTTTCATTCTGTCAGAGCACACTTTTGTTCTAAACATTGCTGAATGTCTCTACTTTTCATCTGTACAGCCCTATGTCAATGATTAATGTCACAGCATTTGTTCCCCAATAAAAGTACTACAGCAATAGAGTGACTATTGTAGAGGAACATAATAGTATGGGATGTGCGTGTACATCCACCCATCACTACAGTTTCAAACAAAGATCAGACCAAAAGGAAACAATTAAGTTTTGGTTGATGTGGACAAGAAAAGTGTTGGTGGTGACTTTTTATAATCGAATGCATAGTACGCAGAGATTTGTAAGATAGGAATACACATATCTATATGCTTGTCAATGGAAAATGTTCAGCTTTTGTATCACTTTTGCAACTTTCTTTCCAAGCTTTAAATACTTTTATTAAAGCAAGCTGGAAAAGAAAGATACAGTGTAGTACATGGGGCAAGGTATGGTATCCAGATGCGTTCTTAAAGTAGAATTCCAGCCAAAATCTAACTACTCATAAAACTGTGCTAGTTAGGGTTTGCCTGGAATTCTACTTTAAAGGAGAAGTGTGGGATATTAAAAAAAACAAACATATTGTACATATTCACTTATGTGGCTGCAGCATCAGTCCGTTGCAGCTGTCCCTTGGTGGCTCTAAGACTGAGAAGAATGATCACTTGACCACTGATCACAATTCTTGGTCTTCACTGAGCAGGGAGCGGTGCTCCTCCAGTTCTCACTGGCATGTTACGCTGTGGAGGGAGTGGGAAAGGCTGGCTTAGGCTCCCAGTGGTATGCTGAGAGGCTGAGCCAGCTGCCAATCAGGCATCGCGGGGTGATGTTGGGATCCCTACAGAGCCTGGACCAGCTCTGTGACATCAGCTGACAGTGGATTTTAGCCTGCTGTCGACTGAATCAAGGTCACAGGAAATCAGAAATAAGTGCACTTCTGTGACCCAGAAAAGAAGTATGGGCAAAAAAAGTTTGGCCGCACTTCCCTTTTAAGGTTAAAATTGCAGTTACATAACAAGGACAACATATCCTACAGCAGGACCAACATACTGTATGTATAATAAGAAGGAAGGCACATATGCGAGAAGACCAATCGTTTATATGAGGCATCATCATTCAAACTGCAGATAGACATATATTATTGTCTCTGATGACATATATGAGGCCTCATGTATGAAGGGAAATTGAGAAAAGAGGACAGAAAAACTAAAAAAGAGAAGAGGTGCAATACAAAGAAGATAGTGCAAGAAGGAATTATGCTACAAACTGGGCATGCAACTGAGTGACATGGCCCAGAAAGGCTTACCTGTAGGTAACATGAATATCTAATACACGTGCACCACTTAGGAGATATTCCCATTGGCTGTAGGCAATGACGTCACTGCACATGTACACTGAAAATGCTCTGAATGCAGAGAGTGATGTCATCGCAGCCCAGCAATTCAAACAGCAAGACAGCACAAACCCACAAGGAAGACTGTGTGTTTAAATGGTAAGTCTACCATAATGTGCTAGTGTGTGTACTAGCACATTATGGCACAACACTGCAGGCACCTAGTAACAAACAAAAAGAAAAAAAGTAGAGTTTACTATTACTTTAATCTCTAATACTTTAGGCATTATTCACAAGCACTGAACTCTAGCATGTGCTGGGAGGAATAGTACTTATGCCCTGATTCTGGTGTGTTGCACTAAGTTCAATTAGCATCATCGGACTATGCAGTGCTGAAAAAAAACAGTACTGCCAAAAAGAAAAGTAAAGGCTGTCAATGCTGAGCTCCTTCTAAAAATGCTAGTTGCCATTATTCAAATGTTCAGTCACTGATGCAAAAAAAAGTATACAGTCACAAACGTCAGAGAATCATGCAGTCCAGATATCCTAATCAATGCTCAGGTTGGTCACAGACTATGCAGGAGAAGAGAATATATATGGTAATCATAAAGGGTTTTACATTGCATAAAATGACAAATACAAACATCATATAAAATAGATTTTTGTTTTATTACAATGTAAGCAGCCATTTCCATTTGCAAATATAAAAATAGCTACATCACATTTGCTGCTAAATTAATTCAATATAGTAATTCTACAAACACTCATCCGTTCCTAAAATTGAAATTAATGGTTCTATTCTCTGTTATAATTTACTCCTCCGTTCCTGACCTATTCATTTCTACTGTACTTGCTCATCTGGAATCTAGCATTATCTAAAGTTCTGTAATGTTATTTATTGGTTTATTCGAACCTCTGCCAGGAGGCTTCTATGTACATCCACAACTTTTAAATTCAATTACCAGCATTCATAAAGGGTACCGTATGTAAATCCATGCAAGAACACATGAATTGCTTTCATTATTTATGTACAGTGAAAACAGATGTTTGTGCACAAAGAATAAAGGATAAAAACACACTGCACACTAAGAACATGCTAAGTGGATTAATCCGGCACACTTTCCAGAACTTTATTGTAGACTCCCCCGTTCAACACAGGTCAAGATGCACCTTATATCCTTGTGGTAACACAGTGATAAACTCCATGTGTTACTAACAGAATCCTAACCCATGTGTTTTGTGGGATCAGCCAATATACAAAATACAGTACTTCATTCTCAATAGCTCTTGGCAATTGACTAGCAACAGTTGCATAAATGTTGATCTAATTGTAGGAAAAGCAAACAGGAGAGCACAAACGCCTAGTGCATTACCAAAAGATGTATTGATAGAATGGACAGAAAAGCCAAATTCATGCTCACAAAACAGGAAAAATGCAAGTATTGTTACATAGTTAGTCTGGCTGAAAAAAGGCAGACCATCCAGTTCAACCATTAAAAAATTGTATCACATCAATGTCAGATCCAGTGCTGGTAAAGGGTAACTTGATCCAATGTACCACAAGTTCAGCAAGCTAAAGCATTTTGAAGATGTACCCCCTTACTTAGAGCTCTGAGGAAGGGGGTGCATCCCCCAAAATGTGTCAGTCTGCTGCAATTGTGATGCATTGGATCGGGTGACACTTCACCAGCACTGGATCTGTAATTGGTGTGATTTATTTATTATATTTCAGCTACTTATATAGCGCTGTCAATTTATGCAGTGCTTTACATATATATTGTATAGTCACATCAGTCCCTAACCCTCAAGGGGTGTACAATCTAAGGTCCCTAACTTACATTCATGCATACACATACTAGGGCCAATTTAAACAGGATCCAGTTAACCTACCAGCATGTCTTTTGGAGTGGGAGAGGCAACCGGTGTTCCTGGTGGAAACCCACACAGCCACAGGGAGAACATGAAAATCCAGGCAGATGATGCCGTGGCTGGGATTTGAACCAATGACCGTAGTACTGCCAGGCGGAAGTGCTATCCATTTAGCCACTGTGTGATATAACGCTTGCATTTTTTTCTCTTTTGTGAGCATGAATTTGGCTTTTCTGTCTCTACTATCAAAAAATAAAGTGTTTTCACCCTCCTGTTTGCTTTTCTTACAGTTATATGCTAGATTCCCCTGTCTAAGGAGGGCTGCAACGGCTGAGCATTCCAGTTGAAGGTTCCCTATTGGCTCCTGTTGTCTGTATGTTATTGAGATTGTGTAGAAAACCTCTGAGAGCTGGGGGTGTTTGTTTTTTGTGCAAATGTTGATTTAAAATGAAGTCTTTATAATGTTTCAAGGATTAGTGTATTAAATTATTTCAAAAAGAGTTAATTTAGAAAGGAAACTACCATTCTTGACCTTCTAAAATTACTAGTTGCCTGGATGACCCACCAGCCTTCATACATTCTATATCACTGGCCTGGAACAGGTTTGCAGATTAGGGAAATCAGAAAAGACATAACTGCTATCCTGCCAGGTCAGCAGTTCAAGGTATAGAAGCCAGAGTCTCAGCTTAATAGCCAGGCAAGTAGCAGTTTTAGGAGAGTTCAGCAATGGCAATATCCACCTGATAGGTTTCCTTTAATCCTTTGCAGGCTGAGATTTATTATGGTCATGGGATCGGACATATTCTGGTCAAATGGCTTTATTTTTTTATTTATAACATGCCTACATTATGTTCCAGTACCATAGTAGCATCATTTCTTTGAAATATAAGGGGAAACAATATTATTTTTTGAAATAATAGTGTTAATTGTGATTACTGTCAGATAGTAGCAATCAGCAGATAGTAGATGGGGTGTAATACCCTAGCACTATCACTGTGACAACAGCTGAGCAACAGGCTGGTCACTGCACCTTTGAAGTGGTTTGTAATGCACTCATTTTTGAGCATTTAAATATTGGTATATAAGTAAACAGGGATATAAAAGTCAATCTGACTTTGCTATGTAAAACCAAGTTTAAAGGATGTGTCTATTTTAATTAAACTGGCTATAAATTATACAATTTTCCTATTCAATTTCCTTTAAATTTACCTTCAAATATGTAGTGTAAGGGCCTGCCTGATTCCATACAAAATGAAAGTGTTTAAGTTTGACCTCATATTATATGCGTTTAGTAAATCTAAAGGAAAATTGTACAAGAAAATTATATAAATGCATGACCAGCCTTAGTCACCCCCTGTAGTGTAACAATAATGTATATGTGCTAATGTTTACATTCCTATTACTGATATGGTGTACATATGGTACTGTTTGTACTGCAATAACAGCTCTCAGATGGTGCTGCAGGCAGAGCCTAAAATCATCAAACAGTTTGACCATCAGAGATATGAAGATGGGGTGCAGGGGCAGAAATTTAAAGCTGAGCTCCAGGCTGGAGCAAAAAAATACCCCTGCAGTTGGGTTCCCCCACAGTGCAAGGGTTATATGCTTGTTATTTCCAGCGGTAGAGGAAGAGGCTGTATTAATTACCCTGTTCCCTGTTACAGCAGGCTCCAGCTCTGTCCTCTTGTCCCCATAACTCCAGCCTGTGGGCAGTCCCACAATACCATCCACTACAATGCACAGCTATTGTATGTAGAGGGGACAAGTGTGCGACTGTGGCCCCAAGCAGCTTAGACACTTGGTTGCACAGATAGATATTCCCTTGCAGTGCAGGGGAGAAGGGGCACCACAAGGGTATTTTTTTAATTCTAGCCCAAAGTTCAGCTTTAAGAAAGATTCACAAACAGATGATTTCCATATAACCCAGAAATCCCCTCAAACTAAAATTGCCACTAAAATAATAACTTTTAAAGGCTTTTAAAATATGTTATTTAGCTTTCCTAGAACAGGAAGAAGACTGAATATGACCTCAGCACCGTTCTATAAGAAAACACTTCACTGTGCCAAATCTACAATGTCATAGAACAAAAATATTTCTACAACTGATTTAATATTTTAACTTGGTAAATCCATGCATTACTCTCCAGTTCATAAATGGTCCCGCTGTATAAATATTTTATTTTATGACAGCTTTATTGAAACTGTATGTAGTTATGGATTCACAGTCTTCAGTATTTTTTATAGTTAGATAATAAAAGCAATGAATAATAGAGGACAGGCCATCATAGCAACCTATGAACCACCCACATGCATCATATAGTATTTGGCCACAGCCATTGAAAGATCTTATACTTGGAGATACTGACATGCTGACATTTTTATCCTGAGTGTGGGTATGCATGTGACAACCTGACACCATTGCTATTATTCATCATTCTGCCATAGTGTAACATTAGATGAGCAGCCACATCCTTATTGGTAGAAGCTCCTTTACATTGTTGATAGCTTCATTGTTTTTGAGAAGATTTGATGTCTTATAGACTGCTAAGATCCAGGCATGAAAAAAAAAAAATCACAAGAAGTTGCAAAAAACCTTTAGTAACAAAACATATTCACTGTGGCCAAATTGGTACCAGCGCAACTTGGGCCAATACACTTTTAAAGAATAACTAAATGTTTTAAACATAGGCAAATTAAACATAAAGACTAAACAAAATACCCTTCTCAAAATCTTCTCATGAAAGCATCCATGTTCTCAGGTACTGTAATCATTGCACTGAAACTAATTTGTGATCCATGTCGGTGAATGGAAGTTGACCTAGGTGGCCTCAGAGATAAGTGTTTTCCTTTGACTGCTTTCTTTAGATCCAAACCACTTTTGCAGAACCACAAGTTGTCAAAGGGTGGTAGTAGACTTCACCTTGGAAGACAACACCTGTTTAAAAGCGTCTTTTCAGGTCTTGCATGTTAGGAGATCTGGGGCGCACAAGATGAAGTCCTCTTCTCTTTTCCCCATTGCAGCTGAAGATCATCTTTCCAACCTCCTGACACAGTTGATAGAAAGCTCCATATACCCCTTCATAGTTTTCTCTAGCAGATACTTCAGCATATGTACCAGACAGTTCATTAGCAAGTTGAAGACCTTCATCAGATTCCACTTGCCTGGCTCTTAAAAGGTCAGCTTTATTTCCTACCAGAAGAAGTGGAATTTTGGTGTTTGGGTGGATTTTCCTTAAGTGCTGGTACAAAGGCCTAATCATACGGTAGCTATTATAGTCAGTGATTGAAAAGACAAACACAAAGCCATCTGCCCAATAAATGGATCGATTAATTTGTTCCTGGCAGGAAATGCTGTCTGTTTCTTCCTGTAACAAAAAAGAGAGAACAAGATATAAATTTAATTAATCCTTGTTGAAAGTTTTAGCAAGCTGCATCAATGATAATGGTTCTGTGACCTGAACAGGGCTGTTCCACATGTAAGGAAGGTGACAATTTCACATAATGAGGAACCATCCTTAAGATTCTGAACAGCTACAGACCTAAGAAGAACTTTTAAAGCTGTCTTCCAGGCAGCCAAAAAGCCTTGGAATGTAAATTGTCCTCATTGCAGGATTGACTTATGTTTCTGTTTTGTTTTTAGGGTGATACCACTAAATATCTACCGTACGTTCAAAACATCCATGTCACAGTCCTGCAACTTTCATATATATATATATATATATATATATATATATATATATACACACATGCACACTGTGAAAATGTAAGTACACCACATGGAGACTGTTGACATTTTCAACATATTTGAGCAACATATCAACATATTTGAACAGAATTGACAAATAAAAGGTGATGTACTTGAACAAATTACACATAAGCTTGGCATCAGGAGTGGACTGACCATTTGGAAACTTGGGCACTGCCCGAGGGCCCGGGGTCAGTAAGGGGCACCATTAGATGCCCCTGGTACCTTTTTCATAGGCTTTTTTGAGTTTGGGCAAAGACACAGGGGCCCCATGATCCCCTATTGCCTGGGGGCCCCATGAGTTGTCAGTCCGCCCCTGCTTGGCATGTTGCATTTATTCTTGTAATCTTAATGACTTCAGTCTGGATCTAGTTCATTGATAGGTCAGGTTTGCAGACAAATCCAGATTGAAGCACAAATGAGGAAGTTTTTTTTTTTTTTTTTTTTAAAACAAACTCTTTCTTGGGAGAGGAGCATAAAATAAAAACAATACAAAAGGGTAATTGCAAATCTGGTATAGAGCAGCGACAGTTTTCACAATAATACAGAGGAACCATAGCAGCTGGCAATAAAGCACACCCGCAGTACATTCATAAAATTAAAAAAAACGGAGTTTAATGTTTAGGCATGTTTAAACACATTCTTGTCGTGTTTGGCTTTTTTAGGCCAAAACGTTCCTCTCCTGAACGCGATTCTTCTGCATTCAGGAGAGGGATGTTTAACTGGCCCTAAACTCTGCTTCTGTTAAACTCTGATAAAAAAATCCAAGTCTATGAATGTCAGCAGAAAAAAAAGGTAAATGGCATGTCCTTTTATGTTTTTCTGGACATGAATGGATTTAAAAGGATGTTGTCCATTTATGTCTGTTTTAGGCACGAAACTTTTTTTTTTATTTATAATTTTGTCACCTAAGACTATTTTCTTAACTAAAAAAAACAGACATGTCAAAAATGAGATGCAAATTGGCTGTACCCCCATGACCAGAAGAGGGTTCTGGGTGCCTATGAGTCTGGCAAGGGATTTAAAAAAGTTGTCAAAGGATTTTAAAAATACTGCCAAATTGTTTAAAATTAATAATTTCACTGTAAGGAAAGCAATGCACAAGTAGCAATGATTTCAAACAACTGCTAATATGTTCAGAACTGGCTGGCCCAGCAAATTCAGTCCAAAAAATTACCATTTGTTATTAAAAGTTTCCAAGAGAGAAACAGAACATAAGGTGGCAGCTTATGTGGATGATTTGTTGTTTTACGTGGTCAATCCTAGGATTACATTGCCGAACTTAATGAAAACATTGAAAGAATATGGTGAGATATCAAATATAAATCCAACTAAAACTGAGATCTTAAATGTAAACCTGCTGAATAAAGATAAAGGAATTCTACAGGAAGAGTTCCCGTTTATATGGAAGGAAAGAGTACTAAAATACTTGGGAAATCTAACTGTATCACAAAAAACCTATATAAAGAAATGATATTCCATTATTGAATGAGATTAAGGGGGAAGTGAGAAAAGTGGGTATAGGAACTCTCTCATGGATAGGATGAATAAACTGGATAAAAATGGTAATTGTTCCAAAAATCTTGTATAAATTTCATATGGTACCAATAAAGCTTCCAGGAATATATTTTAAAATAATTAAAAATATATTAATAAGATACATCTGGGGGAATAAAAAACCAAGGATAAGCTATGAAGTATTAAGTAAAGATAAAAAGAGAATGGAGGATTGGGGGTACCAGATATGAAGAGATACTATAATTCTGTAATATTGGCACAAATTTTTGATTGGACACATAATGCACTTGGGAAAAGTTGGGTAAAAATAGAAAACACACTAAGTGAGACACAATTGTATAGGATAGTATGGTTACCACCCCAATATCGTGGATTGGTAAATAGCACAAGTTCGTATACACGAAATGTATTAAAAATATGGGATGCAGTACATACACAAATGGGATGGGAATTTAATTCCATGTTAATGCCAATAGTGTTCACAAAGTTCTTTCAACCAGGTAACGAAAGTATAGCGGGGAAGTGGGTAAATAAGGAAGATGCACAATTAGGGGATATAATGAAAGGAGAGGAAATATATTCATTCACGGAATTGAAAAATAAGAAAGTGTTATTCACTAGATTTGATGAGTGGCATTATTTTCAGTTAAAACATGTTGTTGAGAAGCTCCCCAAACCTTTAAGAACAAAGGATAAATGGGATCCATTTGAACACTTAATGAATACACGTGGAGATGGGAAACATGGGACTTCTAGAGTATATAAAATTTTCACTAGACTATTAACGGACACGACTCCTCCATATATCGAGAAATGGGGAAAAGCATTAGGAGTGAAAATAGAAGAGGAAAAAACAAAAAGAAAATATATATAGATTAACACATGGGAATGGAAACATGAAGGATGTGGAAATGAACTACAAATTTTTGGCAGGGTGGTATATCACTCCAAATATTGCACATAGACAAAGTGTAGATAATTCACCTTTATGTTGGTGCGGATGTGGGGAAAGGGGCACAATGTTACACATATGGCGTGAATGTTTTAAAATTCAAGAGTATTGGGAGGGAATAATTCACCAGATTCAGAAGATAACTGAGATTAAAATTCCAAAAGATCCAGTGATATGTCTCTTCCATGGTACTATGTTTTCAGTAGAAAAATATAAAAACTCTGGCCTATTATATTATTTAAATGCAGAAAGAGGTTTAATACCCAAATTTTGGAAAGAGCAAGAAACACCAAAAATAAAAGATTGGTTGGGAAAAGTGGAGCAGATATACAGAATGGAGGAACCAGTGGCGGACTGACCATTTGGAAACTCGGGCACTGCCCGAGGGCCCGGGGTCAGTAGGGGGCCCCATGAGATGCCCCTGGTACCTTTATCATAGGCTTTTTTGAGTTTGGGCAAGGACACAGGGGACCCAAGATCCCCTATTTCCCGGGGGCCCCATGAGTTGTCAGTCCGCCCCTGGGAGGAACTTTACCACATAGATGAGGATAGAATGGAGATATTCCGGAAGAGATGGGAAAAATGGGAGGATTTTAGAAGATCAAATCAAAATATAGTACCCTGAAATAGAAAGACGAGAACAAACAAACTAGAAAATAAGTCAAAAGTAGAATAATATTGTGTAAGATTCCCAGGAAAGATGAAAATAGAGAGCGGAATGGGGAGGGAGTTGAGGGGAAAGGGGATAAGGAGGATGGGGGGCCGGAGGAACTGTGGAAGGGGTATGGAAAATGTAAATTAGTTTACGTATATGTTAAAATATTATTTATTAGACATGTAAATATGTTTTTTTTTCTTAGTGAGTAAAAATTGAAAATGGTAAAATCAATAAAATATGTATATATAAAAAAAAAGTTTCCAAGAACCCCAAAATTAACTTGCAGATTCTGCAGGTAACTCTTGCAATAGTTTGTGTCAAAGTGCCTGAACCTACAATCAAGAAGCACCTGCACCACTTTAACCTGTATGGGAGATGTGCCAGAAAAATCAGCTTGCCATTAAACATACAAGCAAAGACCAGACCTTCAGTACTAATGTACTGTGGATTGAACAATTTAAACTCGACAGTTTGACCACTGGAACAAAATACATGTTTGGCACAAACCAAAGGGTTAGAATCTCAAACCAGCTGTGAAGCATGGTGATGAAAAATGTTTTTGTTTGGAATTGCTTTGTTTCCTTAGGGCCTGGGCAGCTTCCAGTTATCGAGTCAGATATGAATTCTGCATCAAGTGTACTTAATGAGAAAGTAAAAGCATCTGTGTAGGAGCGGTGCCAGAAGGGTGCTTGGGGGTGTGTTTTAGCACTCCCAAAAATTCCCAAAGCACCCCTTAGCACCTCCATCAGCAGCCACCCTGTGCACCTCAGGGAAAAGTTTTACAATTTTCAGCCTGAGTCTCCTGCCTGTCATATTAACTGTAGGAAGACCTGGCTCTTGATGCGCTCCCACCCCCATGACTACTCCTGTGTGCACATATGCTTGCTCAAGCAGTAAACAGGCACTTCCTCTAGCCATGCTCCTCACCAGTCTGCCTGGCCACTGTCAAATTTCAATGTACAATGTAAGCATGCTGTGGCTTGTGCTGTGAGGGGTAGCATAATGTAATGTTTGCAGTGGAGCAGCATACTGTAATATTTGTGGTGGAGATGCATATTGTAATGTTTGTAGTGGAGCAGCATACTGCAATGTATCTGGTAGAGCAGCATACTGTAATGTATGTAGTGGAGCGTACTGTAATTTTTTTTTTTTTGTGGAGCAAACTTCTCAGTAATAAAGAGGGACATGCCAGCCACCAATATAAGAGAGGTAGGAGCACAACGCACACCCATTGTGTCACAATGGTGAATGTACATGGGCAGTTGCTGCATGTCCCTGCTCACTTACAGTGCCTTGAAAAAGTGTTCATACCCCTTTAAATTTCCCACATTTTGTCATGTTACAACCAAAAACATAAATGTACTTTATTGGGATTTTATGTGATAGACAAACACAAAGTGGCACATAATTGTGAAGTGGGAGGAAAATGATAAATGATTTTCAACATTTTTTACAAATAAATATCTCAAACGTTTTTGCAGCGAAAAGTGGTTCTACG